CGTCAACTTTTTCAAAAAGTTCCCACACAACAGTTTCGTAAGTCGAGTTATATTATAATTTACTTACTTATGGATGAATGTTTTTCTACCAGGGCTAACCACTAGTTGTCTTAAAAACTTTACGCAAGTTTGTAATGGTTGGTTTTACTTCACGTCTCACGTCTGTAGTAGAACAACATAATAGCGCTTTTTTGGTATCGGGGAGGGGGGGGGGGGGGGGGGGACTTCAAAAGATACCCTATCACACATTAACCAGTGACCAGTGCCGTCCAAGTAGTTTTCTTCACCAGTGCAGCCGACACTGCTACTTATGGAGAAAGGTCCGGCCCGATCAAACATTATAGCCCCAAGAAATAGATGCACCAATACGCCAGACAGATCAGACAAGTAGCATAGTCTCATAGAAGTCGGGAGTATTTGGATCATTTAGCGATTTGTCCGCTAAGCAATGTTAACGCAGACGCAAGACTATCAACGGTGGCAACACTTCGTAACATGTCTAATGTTATGAGCATCCTTGGGCAAAGGCCCCAATTAGCATGAGGTGAACCGCTTACCATTGGGTTGGCAGAGTTAGCTTCTGTGTCTACGTTATCAAAATAATGTCTTATGGCTTGTGATAAATATTGTCAATGCGAGTTTTGTGAGGTTTGTTTAAATACTTATTAAAGTACATGTGACCCAGATAAAATATAGCTTTGCGTCGTCGGAGTTCTTAAGTACTAACTAATTTATTTGTAAATATACACCAAGTAAAATTAATTTATTATCTTCATTATGACGAGCGTAAATCTCCGGCTATGTGTTTATGCATTTAACCTCCAACATATCACAACCTTAAGTTTCCCATGTTTTCACAGATGATGGAGGCACAGCATTGGCTACTAGGCGTAATTTACCTTTTAGATCCAGCCCTCTGCAAACTCAGGCCGCACTGGTCACCGCCACTTTATGCCGATCTAAGAATAACTGCCTTTAAAGCTTTAGTTTGTATCCTGCCGATCGCTTCCGTACGCTTTCTACAGAATTATGATTTGATCAGAAGGTACATTCATAAGGAAACATCCTCGTCTTTTTATAGTCTCGATATCTTAATTCAGAATCGGATCAGATTTTTTTAAGGAAAAGGGGACATACGGGCAGGAAGCTCACCTGATAGAAAGTGATCACCGTTGCTCAGTCTAAAGAATTGCAATCTATTTACAACAATTGGCTTAATTTGAGTGCATCACTCTCGGTGCGCTAGTATCATATCTACCTCATATTTGTATATAAATATCATTGATGGCATAGGCTGCCTAATTAAGATGTGGTGACTGTTCCAATACATTAGAAAATTTAATGAAATGTACTTACATATACCTAATAATCCGTATGTACATAAGGCAAGTGTACTTTTTGAGACCTGGGTTACCCATACATGTGCGCTGAAAAATGAAGTGAAAAACAAAATGTAATCAAAATTATTTTTACACTCTTTTTTCTGTAACTGTAACACATTCAATTTAGCTATTTTGCTACCCTTAATACTTTATTATACCTAATTATACCTAAACGATACAGTTTGTTACTAACCAAGTCCAACCTTTCAGGTTAATGTGGTATATAGAATGGTATTCTGTGAGTCCATACGAGTTGCCCGTGTTATATTGGTGTCTCAGAGTACTGCAAGTCGCGGTCAGTCACAGGCGAACTCCTATGCGAAAAATTATGCTCGAGGATTTGTTTAATACCCACGGTATTATTATTATAATTCGTGAGTACATTTCGTTCATAAAATTATAAATTTGTGTAATCTGTTTGATTTATGAATGTTTAGTACGTGAGTCACACTGAATGTTCTGAAAAATCAAAAAAGTTGTTCGAAGTAGCCTCCGTTTCAGGGAGGCTTTTCTAAGTATATTCATTTTTTTTAATTAGATTCTAGGCGTAAATGATGAATTATAAAAAATGATAAATATTTAAAATCACTCGTAAGTAATTAATTACATTCATTTGAACTTATCTCAAAAAGTGCGTAATTCATACGCAACTCGTTTATTTTACGCGCGATCATTCATAACTAACACGCACACAAGTTCGGTTCAAAGTATACGACGCATAAATGTCGACACCTATCTATCTGCATCGTGACATGCACACAACTAAAGTTTGTTATTACACGCGTATCATAGTACAAGTTTTATGATTCCAATTTTCCTTCATACTTAGAACGGGCTTAGGACCGTCGTAATAAAGGGTCGTCATAATACTAAAATACTTATTTCATTTTAAATTATTTTTTTAAAATCACACACTTTTGTTCGTACTTATTATGGCGTATTTAAAAAGTGGAATCAACTATTTACAACAATTAAACTTACCTATTCATTTACAAAAAACACTCACTGATATTTTAACAATTGTTCAAAATCTCTTTCTCTCAGTACAAAGCTGAGCACGCTTTCTCAAACTATTTTTTAACATTACTTGTGTCTGAGCATTGTATACGCCGGTGTAGTAAATTGTCCAAAATGTAATAAACCTTTGGTTGGCTGCCAAAATCGTCCTTCGATTAGGTACACTTGAGTTCATTGCCTGTCTTTTTAAAGACGGTAAAGAGTCACTTTCATAAAGTCCGTAAGCATCGTACCATCTCGTAATACTCGCGGTTCTAATAACTGCGTTGTTGTTTCGATATCGTTAGAGAAAAGCAAATCTAAAAATAGCATCTTCGGATTCGTTGGAAGTGCTGAGAAGACTAGTGAGTCCATTCTACTTTAGGGGGCAGATCGAAAAAGCGAATACCTAGTTTTCTTTGATTCTTAGAAATAAACTAAAGTCGCAAGTCTCGACTCTAAGTGGGGGTAAGTGTGACTCATGACACAGTTAAATATGGAATTGTTCGTTTCACGGAGTGCACTGAAGCGTTGTCGTGGTGAAGATGGACCCTGCTTAAAAAAAACATTAACATTACAGTAACTGTCCTTCGATCTTCCAGCACAACTGTCGCAAAATGACCTTTCCGACCAAAGAACGAGGCAATCGTCTTTTTTCCTAGACTTCTTCATTTCTTCCTTTTCACTGAGCAGGTTGTCTTTTCGTTTCGGGTTCATAGAAATAGCTTTAATCATCCGTGACGATGTCAAGATACAGCATTAGGGTCAACTCCGTTCAATTTTTTTTAAGCATTTCGTGACACCATTCCGTACCAAGGCGACTTTGGTTACACATCTTCCTAAAGCCTAAATATTTGTGAAATATTTTTTGTACTTGACTCATGACCAATGACCCCGAATCTGCTGGTAGGTCACTCTCTTATTTTCCTCTATCATACGTCGCACAGCACTGGTGTTATATTCAGATGTCGCTGTTGAAGGAAGTCTCTCACGTAAATCAACTGAGATTGCTACGCCCACCCTTAAACTCATTAAACCAACTGTAAACAGCGGTACGGGATGGAACTTCATTACTAAATGCCAATCGCAGTCTCTCGTATCTTTGTTTGTTTGTATCAAAACATTGTTTTGAGGCACAAAAGAAATTAAACCCCTATATACATAGGTCGGAATTACTCCTTCCTATCCAGCTGCTAAGTAATTGGCAAATAGAAAAGATAATCTGTATTGGAGATAATTCTAACAAATGAATAGAACAGCAAATGAACTATTATAATTATCTTATGATTAGCTAATTTTTCACTGTTTGTAATTATTTTCCAGCAACAAACAACTTAGCTAAGGAGATACATTAAACACAATAAAATTAATTGTTGAAAAAAGCATAAAGAAAGCTATATTTTGAAAATTTTGCTTTTGTAAATCCTTTGTTTGAATTTACGTGATGTTAAGTATAATTTACAGTTTTAATCTATGAATATCAAGTTTTAAGTTCTTAACTTTATAAGTTTCTCTTCGGTAGACTAGTGCTTTAAACGTAATTTCAATATTTGTTCAAAGAATTTTCATATTGCACATAATTTTGGTGAAATATTTGATAATCCACGAACTAAAATCAATATAACCAATATAAATTCAGTAAAAGTATTTTTTTTTTAATTTTTGGATTCTTATAATTCTTGAACGGGCAATTTTGGGTGCGCGCTGGTAGCGTAGAGTTATGCCCAACAAGCCAAATAATAAGAATATAGTAGTTTTAAAGCATGACCTGTCAAGACTGGGCCAAGTTTTAGCAGTTTCTGTTTCATTCCATACAACAAAAGACTTGTTTAGCTTTAGATAACCTTTATTAACGGATGGACTTTTTGGTCTAGCTAGATTAAACATCGACTCTAGCTAGATTAACTATCGAAACATAACGACTTAGTACAATTAAAAGTCAAGTTGTAATATGAAGTCGCTTTTCAGCAAACTTCAAACTAGCGAAATTGCCAAATCGAGCTTTTGAAATAGCTTTGAAAAATAGCTTTAAAAATTATCAACCAAAGTAGTTCGTATTTTAAACTTATTGTATAATGCATGACGTATCCCGCAACGCTTGTAAATTAGTTAGTAGAAAATAAAAATACAATTATTCGCGCAGGTCTTTGCCATACACTTCTTGATCAGAAATCGCCGCCAATTGAGAAGAGTCAAGTGATCATTTCCCTTTGTCTAAGACTCATCACGAGCGCCGTCGAAGTTAAAAAGACTTTGTCTTGCTGCGTTTATCCAGAATTAAAATGGCCCCTATCTATCTATTCACTAGCAACCAGGATGCTGGACGTCGTCTTAAACTGTTTACAGAAACATCTCATTATTAGCGATAGGTAAGTTAAAATTACCTCTTCCGAAAAGTACTTTATTTAAATTTCATTTAATAGTTCCTCCTGGTGACATTAAAATACATTGAAATTTCTTTCCAGATGGTTAATATCATTGCTCAACTTTCTATGGGAGGCGATTATATGGAACGATAAGTTCAGAGGAAAATTTGTTAAAGATAACGGAGTTTTTAAACTCTTGGACATTATTACTGTGAGTAGAATTTTTTGTAAATGATATGGATGGACTGTGTGAAGAATGATGTCAGTAAAAGAGGTGAGTATTAAGATGATTGAGGCTGTTAGAGGAAAATGGAAGGAAAGGACATGGTGTGCCGACACCACCTAGTGTGGGATAAGGGCAGGAGAAAGAATAAGAGGAAGTGAAGAGATTTTGGAATGCAAATAAAGAATAAAGAGAATTCTCCGTGAATTTCAATTTGCCTATAACTATTAGAGGATTATACTTTTCTGTCAAATTCATGCTTTCATACTTCATTTGGATGTATCGAAACGTAGTAGCTTTATTTACGAATATTGGCGCCGAAAATCATTGTATTGGGGCAGTGTAAAAAATACGGTACTAAATACTGAAAACACGTACTAAATGTTAGGACCAAAATTTTCTTCTCCAATTTTCAACGCCTGTGTTAACACTCCAGGCATAGGTCATTTATCGGCTATTATTATAGGAGCATACATAATATCACATAATATTTAAAAAAAACTTATAATGCGAACAATAATATTGATTAGTTAAATAAAGTACAAAATTTGCAAATTTATAAATCAGCTAGGTATTATTTAACTAAAATTCAGAGAAATACTGTGGTAATAGGGCGACGAAGCTTCTTCTGCTGAGAATATAACAAATAAGAATATAATAAAATCCTTGTTGAGTTTTGCGGACGAACAAACAGTAGCTAAATTTGTATATATTTATAATGATAACAAGGCTGAAACAATATCTTATAGCCATATTAGATAAAAAAAATTGGATTGATAAGCGAGGAGAATTTAGCTGCACAGTTGCTTGTACCTACATAATTAAAGTAAAATTATGTGACTAAATTATGTCCACAGAACAAATCAACAAAATGTTTTGTTCAATCGACTAGTCGATTAAGTACGCTATTATAAACAATTTAGTAATCAAGAATGAAACTCGAAGGAGGCACTTGTGACTTCCGCGTTGGCCTACTCAATTAAATGCTACCAGCATGTTGGTGGCGACATTTACAATAAGTAGGTAGTTTATTTATGTGCCATTTGACTTTTTCATATCTCATTTAAGTAATAGGTACACACAACTTTTTGTTTTTTATAATGTACGATGAAAAGGGTGTCTCATTTTTATTGTTCCCTTAAATACAACTATTTATTCACGCGCAATAAATCAAATTAACGTAAAAATGCGTTCAACATGTAAACATGACAACAAGATGAAATCATATTTCTGGTAATCATGATATAGTCATTCATGCATTTTTTTCGACGCGCTCAGCTGACTCGGCCTCCAGTTCAATGTCTGGCCCTTGCACTTGTGTGCGATGTGGCGCGAGCTGGTGACGCCGTAGGTCAAATGGTCACATGGCGTGCAAGCTCGGCAGCTTCCGAGATTGTAAGTGTTAACACTTAAGATGTAACCCAAATTCGAAATTTTAACAAACTACACAAACTGCTATAGATTTTAACAGAATACATTGTTTTATGAATTTCATCTCATCTAATATGCCCTGAAAATCCCGGATTTTGCAATACTTACACACTTAAAGCACTAGACACACAAAACTGTTATTAAATTTCGAAATTAATTACTTAATAGAAAGTCAAATTCCTTTATAAACGTTACTGTGTCTCAAATGCAACACCAAACTCACATTTAATAATAATTATTATTAATTGTATGGTGGGCAAATTTTCTATACTTTATCCCTAGTTATGGAAAAACCATCTCAGGAAAGAAGTTGAATTACCATAATGTTATGCGGACTTGATATAGGTTAGTGGCCAACATTTCCCTTCTACAGCCTTAAATATTGTTACATAAGGCAGAAAGGGGAATAATAAATAAGGTAATAAAATCTGAATTCTGATTATGATTTCAGTTACCTAAACTTGTGAAAAGAGGCGCTACTATCGCGAATTTACTGGCTGCCATTTTTCGTGACGAATGTCATGCAACGAAAGTGAATTTGAGTGATTACGGGGTGATACAGAGTTTGTAATTTTCGATTATATCGGTCATAATTTGTTTTAAATCTTTATAGTAAATTAATTGACTAACAAATTGCACAACAGATTTAGACTGCCCTTTGTCTCCGGAGTTAAGCGAACACATGGATGTAAAATTTTTTGATCCTTATACAAATAATAAGACGCCAACATGTCTGCAAGCAGCTGATTTAGCGGGATCTCGATTATCAAAGGTAAACATTATTAAAAATGATTACCCATCGCAACTCTTAGTTTATTTATTTTATTTTATGCGAAAAGTTTTCAAACGAGCAGACGGTTCACCTGATGTTAAGTGAATACCGCCGCCCCTGGACATCTGCTACACCCGCGGGTTACAGATGCGTTGACAACCTTTTGAAAATTGGGCTCCGGCTAACTCACTCACCAGACGAAACGCGAAAGTATTTGTCATACTTCCACTTTACGCTGGTCTTCTGTGAGGTCGTGGTACTTACCCGGACGGGCCTGCCCATTCGTGCAACAGCCGAGGCTGCTGCGTGGCCCTACCACCGTTGAAGTATTAAATTAATTACATTACAAACCAAGCTAATTGAAATTTTATTAGATAGGACCAAAATTATAACTACTCAGCGAAGAAATACAGCTAGCGTTCTTGGCATCATGCCGCATGGGCTAGGTTGACTTGTTAACATGTAATTTAATAACTTTTTATTAGATTCGATTTTCCTTTTTAAGAATAATATTTGAGATACTTTATCCCTATGGCATTTCTAAAGTTTTATATTTTGATTTGTTAAAAAAGTAAGTACCTATATAATGGAATACTCAACAACCTTGTCTTCTAATCTCAGTGGCCAATGAAATTTAAAATTTCAATTTTATGCACTGATGTTTGTGTTGAAACAAACATCGTGAGAAAACATATTTTTATATTATCGAATTAGTACTTAAAATATTTCGAAGAAATATGAAGTGTGTCGTTCGAAACAGAGGATATCGCGTGATGAACTGGACCCTATCACAATATGGTGTTGAGGCCTTTGCACAGCAGCGGGGCATAAATAATATGCTGCTATTTTATTTTTTTACTATTTATGTAACAGTATAGCTACCTAACGAAACTAAGATATTCGATTTGTTTATATTCAACAAGTATGTAATGAAAGGGTATTAGGATTTACTTAAACACATTTATACATTGTATGTAAACTTGTACTTGCTGTATTTAGGTGTATGCTATTCTTCACATGCTTTCAAAGGACTTGGCCTTTAAAGTATCGCTCGCCGATGAGTCCTATAACCTGTACAAGAATATCAAGCTACCGCCACAAGACGAGGTATTTTATGAACTCCTTTAAACAAGCAAACTTTTCATTTTAATTAAATGTATTTTTTTTTAAATAAGACTTCGAGGTTTTCTTTACAGACTTTCTTTCTTTTTCATATATACATGCTGATTTTGAACTAAGGTGTGGTTGTGCCAGTTTCTAGATTATTTTAACAACCTAGTGAACCACTATGTAGTGAAGATTACACAAAAAATAGTTATGGGTATATTTCTGAGATGAAAAATCACAATCATATTCTAATTATAAGACAGGTAAAGGTATGCCTTAAAAATACTAATAAGAAAACTTCAGTAAGACAAAAATTTTGCGCCAGATTTGCCGCCCCCTAAAATCTGCTGCCCTAGGCTGTAGCCTGCTGGTAAATCTGCGACTGACTGAAATAAATATAAAGATCATCTTTTTTTTCTATTATCCAAGATTACTTATTTTATTAAAATTGACAGACAATCCTTGTTCTGGCGTCGCACTATTTGACATTGAAATTAAACGAAACATGGACTGAAACGAAGTCTCGGTGTCCAGACTTCTTGCCTCAGGACAATGAGACGCTTCAAGAATTCTTACACATAGGACAGTAAGTTGTCTCCTTGCTAAGCTATTACAATAGAAATATTAACATGGATATGTTCATGGGAAAAAGTTAAAATAGTTTGTTCAAATAGTATACAAACGTTATCTTCTCAAAACTTAAAATTTTCCCCTAGCAGCACGATAGTGAACAACGTAGTCATCAGACTGGACTAAAATGAATAAGATTATCTAAACAAGGCGACGACAAATACAAAAGCTTATCAAGCACTATTTTTTTTTTAATTATAGGATCTTGTTTAAAACAATTGTATATAATAAACCACCACATTTCTCGGCTTTTTAACTAAATAATAATATTGTTATTTCAGCGGTTGGTCGAAGGAAATAAAACGAATACAGGAAGAAGTCATTGAGAAAAGCGAAAAAGAGGTTACCTGCTTAGTAAAAACGAAATCAAATTAGGGCTTGGGACACGTACCTATGAATAATATAGTTTATTATTCATAGGTACGTGAAAGCTTCGAACTAATGAGCAATTTTCTCAACTGTTTCAGAGCTGTGACGATGAACGTTCCTTTTACGAATTCCTTAGTCAAGTCAGATTAAACGTAGCACTAGATGCTTTGCGCGAAGTGCGATGCAACGCGCTTTCGTCCGACCGCTTTCAGATAACCCACTCACTGTTGCATGATGCAGTTTCGGCGGAGAAACGTAGATCTGAACTTTCGGAACGACTCCAGTCATCGATATTGAAGACATATTCGCCTCCTCTGGACTCGCAAGTATGACAATACGCTATTTACCAAAACCACATATATGTTTCTCTCAACAGCGGTTCTCGCGATGTAAAACCATTACGGCACATTGACATACACAGACCCCAGGGTGTCTATTGTGGTCCAAACCCTTAAGCAGGCGCCAATAACCTCAGTCACTGAAAGAAATGCATAAACATAGATGACTATACTATAGGTCCAGACAAGTCTGCCGAATCATGCAAGAGCACAAGCTCGTAGCTTAACCCAAGTAAAAATCGTCTCTCTCTCTCGTTTTTCGTCGGTTGGACACGCCTCTTGGTCTTGGTTAGTTAGCGAACGACTTAGGTCATAAAAGCACTGTTCTTATCAATTTACCAGTTCATATAGAAATTTAATTGTCTCGCGATGGTTTATCTCTTTTAAGATCTCTTCTTAAAAATATACAGCGTGTCGATACAACCGCGAAAATAAATGAACACATGTCTAACGCTACTTGCCAATAATCATAAAAAAATGTAAAACGTTAAAAAATCCATAAATAAAAAATATATTTTTCAAACAAACTAATTAAATACAAAAGATACAAAATTTGCAACACCTATATAACTACAACTGACTGATTCATACATTCAGAGACTTTTTCATTCGTTGCCACAAGTCTCTCCTTCTAACAGTATGTTTTAACTCTTTTCAATTCTTTCAAGCCATTCACATGTTTTGTGACCTTTACAAATGAAGTTTATGTTACAATTTTATACGTAAGGGTGTTCTAATAATGTTTATTTTGTAAAATTTTATAACTCGGTAAATATTGATGTTTAAAGAATGTACATGCTTAATACAATTTTAAAAAGTTATCCTCTATATGTGTGTTCATTTATTGTCCTGGTTGTAACGACACGCTGTATATAAATACTATAGGTAGGTATACAAGTTCGGTATAGCTGATATTTAATCTCACGCTAAAAGTTTTCACGTTATTAAAGTGTGTTAAATACACTTTTGTAACATAAGATCTAGCAATCAGAAACGAGCTAATTTAATGCATAATATTATAGGATATAGTCATATAGCGGCATTATGTATGAATGTTGTAAAGAAACATAGCAACTGTGGTTGTGTCACGCGGCAGCTTCCACCAAGTACCACGGCCTCACATAAGAACGGCGTAGTGTAAATTTATTATGTCTTGTTTCGTCTGTAAACAGTCCATGGGTGTCGGTAAACACTTAACATTAGGTGTACTACCTGGTCGTTTGTTAACTTGACTATGCCCTCGCCTCGACTACCACTCGCATATGGCATATGTATCCTCATTGTAATGGCTATAATTGACTTATCTAAAACAAATTGTGAGTATATTGGGGTGCACTATTCGTCATTTGTTATATAAATGTTTTTATAATATGTGTTCATACCATATGCTTATTTAATAAACATTGTGTTACATCGTTAATATAGTATTACGGGCAACTTTTTTGTTGATTTAGGTTAAGTTAAAAATAAATAAATATATTTACGACCCGATTGCCCGAGAGGATAGTGAACCTGGTCTCTTGCGATCGAGGTGCGAGTTCGATCCCCATTACTGGTACTGGAAAAATAAAATATGATGAAGTGTTTTTCTAGTGTCTGGGGATAAATATTCTCAAAGAAGAGTATATTTCACTATATTTATCAGTTAATTAGTACCCTTACCATAATAAAAACCTAAACTATGCTTGGTTTATGTGGGACTAGCGAACGTTATAAAATTATGTCCGGAAAATATTAATTTATATTGATAGAACTACTTTTTTGGGCAAGTACCACAACCTCACAGAAGACCGACGTGAAGTGGAAGTGTATATACTTCTGCGTTTCGTCTGGTGATTGAGGTAGCCTGGGTCCACTTTACTAAAATGTGGCAACGCATCAGCAACCCTACGGGTATTGTAATTGTCCATGGTTGGCGGTTATCATTTAAAATTAGTTGGACCGCGAACTCACCACCATCTCACACAAACGATCTGACAAGCAAATTATGATCGGTACCTATGACTTCATAGAAATAACTCAGTTCTCTCTTATCTAAACCAACAATATTGTTTATTTTCAGAATAAAGTTGGGCAGCATGTTAAAGTTTTAAGTATCGAACCAAAGAAAAAGAGAAACTAAACTTTTTAACTATACTGTTAAAATATCCGTTGTTTCAATCTAATAATTTCAATAAACATTTTTTCAATAAACCAATTTTTTTTCTATTTACTGCGTTCCTAGAAAAAAAAAATGGGGATTGGTTAGGTATATATTAGGTTGAATTATGAAATTGACGTTTTGTCGATCAGACCACTCTGATCTCAAAAGGCGTTGAATCGTTAGAGGAATGACTAGGCCTAATTAGGTCTGGCTAGGACGTCCAAATTCAAATTTATTTTCAGTTTAGGCTTTTGTATTTGTGTTTCGAATTTAGTGATCTATTTATTTTTACTTAGGCATAAGTCTTGTTATGGAAAACTTATAATATCGCTTTATTTACGAATACGACTTCTCACACTAGAAGGATCAATGTGTACGGGGAAGCAACTGTAAAAAAACATGATACGTTTTTGGTTCCAAAGTTTTCGTTCTGGAAATTTTCACCTACAGAACTAACCCCGTAGACGAACTTGTTCGTTGTTAAGGAACAATCCCTAGTGAGAAACTTTGAACTTATGAGCCATCCTGCATATAGTGCCGACCTGGCTGGCATCTTGTGACCTTTTTCTGTTCCCAAAAATTAAAAATCAATTACGTGGTCAATCATTTTCATCAACAGAAGAGGCTGCCGAAGACTATGAAAAACACGTTTTTGAGGTCACCACGGAGGAGTGCACAAATGTTTTCACATAGGTTTAATCGTATGAGAAAGAGCATCTTTTTTCAAAACATTGCCCTTTCTTTAGGATAACATAATCCTGTGTTGTAAGGACGTTTTACAGACATAAATTCCACGTGAACAAACACCCAGATGCGAAACAACTATCTGTAAGGACGTTTTCCCATGTGACGAACCCACGACCATCTGAGTCATCGAATCGATTACGAAAAGGGAGAATATTTTGAGAAACAATAAATTCGTTTTTGACATTTTAATAGTATTTTTTTCTCATTAATTCCGGAAACTTCCGGAACTTTCTCATTGATTCCCCACTTACATGTTTTATTGCTTTACATTTGCATTCTGTGAGGTCGTTATAATTTCACGGGCGGACCGGCTCACTCTGCTCGGCCGCGGGATTGGAGTAAAGGCCGGTATTGCAATCTTCTCTTTATTTGCAAACTTAAACAGGTGCTACGGCCCTTTTGTTGCCGCACGTCCTCCACTTATACTACTAGACCTCCTCACTTTACAAAGGCGGTTCACATCGCTCATCGAATAACAGTAGACGGCCGTCGGTGTGAATGTCCGCATGTCGACCCCGATAGCCCCATTCTCTTATATAAAAATTTCTTTGCGGGTGGGCCGTAGCCGGCAATCCCTGTTTAGGTAGTCTATCGAGCTCGTCAAATCGTTGCCTTTCCATGAGCTCTGTGCCCGTTGAAGCTTTATATGGCCTATGGACTACGAGACGACAAAGACGAAAAAATTACAGACGTTCACTTTTCCTTGTCTTTACTCCCCTTTTTTTTCTACTTTGTCCTTCACCATGAAAACGCTTTCTAGCGCGCTCCAGTCACAAGGGCCTATTTCAATCTACTTTTCATGTAAAACGTCCTAAGATAAAGTTTAAGGGATGAAGATCAATCGTCTCTTCAAATAATAATGCCCAGAAATAATAATAACCTCATTAGTCTTTCGAAACTATCAAGACATTAAGACGTCAATCGAGTAATCACAACAATAACAATGGAACTATATCTCAAAAGCTCAAAAACCCTCACCTCTTAGAAAACTCATACCTGTAGCCCTGTTGAAGATTTATAAAAATTGTAAATGATATTTAAACAACATTGAGCGTAATTTGAAACTTTATTTTCCAATCATTTCATTTAAACATTGGAATTAATACGACATTTTTTTAACGAGTGCCTTAAAATTCTAACGTCGACAACATATTTATAAATTAGGATTTACGAATGGTCTTATTCGTTTTCTATATATATATAGCATATATATATATGCATATTTCGTTTTATATATATATATATGCTTAGAACATCATCAACGCTTGTATAAATGTAACTATACAATACAATAATTTTCAATTAGAAATTTTCGGTAATTAGAAAGATGCGGACAATGCGGTGGTAGAATTAAAAATCTTATCTTTCAATCAAAGCTTTAAACTATAAATAACAAATACAAATAAAAAGTACGTAAATATACATACTACAATGAAAAGTTGTTTTAGTTTTTTCTTTGTGTTGAATTTAAATGCTGCCATAAAATGTTAGCTGCATTTTGTCCAAGATTGTCCATTCTTACAACATATTTTACAAATTATGCTTACCACAACATATTATATTTATAAATTATAAATATATAAAATAAATATATAAAGATAAAAACACGCCTCTGTCATATAATGTCAGAGATGTTTCCATATTGGTGAAAATAAGTAAAAAGAAGCACTAACTTTTTAATTTTCAAAGTCTGCCGAACTGGCATTAAAATTTGCTCTTCAAGTAAAACCAATTTAGATAAATATAATTAAATAGAAAGATTCCTATACAAACACAAAACTGATTACGATATTTAAATATGTGTAATGGTGGTTCCCATGGAAGTTCTATTTAAAACCAAGTATACATCAAACGTCAAGTACGAAAAAAAAACGCATAATAAGCACATAATTATTCATGATTCTCGTCAACTATTAATAATTAGGATTATTTTATTGTCCATATGCTGGTCTGTATTAATAATATAGTCTTGAAGCTTAGACCTTCTAAGAGCAAGTGCAGTTCTTGAAACTACGTACCGCTCCCTTTTTACAAGGAAAGGGACTTCTCAATATCAACTTCTAAAATACAAATTAATTAATTGTTGTTTTTAAATGTGATATTGATTTGTAAAGTCGTTTTTATCATAGAGGCCCACCACTTTTAACCTTTTCACGTTGCCTGCCCTGATGCATAAAATATGTAATTATGTAATATTTGACTAGCAACATTATTAAGATTATATTCAAGTCACTCACTCATAACAGCTTACCGTGCTTAAAATAATTAATTTATTAATATTCATAACAAATACAACATGATTTCGCGGTGAGCGTATACAGAATCAGGTATATATAATAAATTTATATTTCATAGGGTTCACATGAGCTTTTAAATGTACATAAACTATAGGTTTACAAAAATACTTGAATAAAACTAATTGGCACGTTTCAACAATGGTGTAAAGAAAGCACTGTTATCCTGATTTTTAAGGCACTAGGATAAATAGACAACAGAACAACTATTGGATAAATAAGGTAGCGATAATTATATGTCCAGCATTCATTCAGGGTAATGATTGTGCAATTATATATATTTTAGAGGCACTAAACCTAACTAGATTATTAACATGCATTATAAATATAACTTACACTAGAAAAATAGATGGTTTTAATCACTATACAAGTACGTACCAGTCTCACATGCTTTCGAGTTAACCTTACATTACATACCATAGTTCCAGAAGCGAGGTTTCTAATTCGCCACTGAATGGGCGGTCCACAGTCCAAGCAAAGTAAGTAAGTAATCTACCAAAGATTATGCATGGTATGTTGTCAATTATTTTTTAAATAAAAACAATTTGCAACAAGGGTAATAAAACTATTATATTCTACTTTTAAATAAAAAAATATAGCTGCAACTATTTGAAAGTTATTCAGAGAATTGTGTTTGTACTGATTGATGGTTATTTTAAACATAATTAGTACTTGAATACAATATTTTTATGATTCAACTCACTTAATTTGTTTCCTAATACTTAATAAAATAATAATGATTTCACCATATAATCATTAATACTCACTTTTGGTGTGACAATTGACCGATTACAATTATAAATCTTATTAAGTTATAATAGAACTGATGGAAAAATGTTAATAAATTATATCATGCAAAATAATATTACTATTTAGTCTGACTCACTTAAACTTAATGCTTTTTGCTCATATATTATTAAGAATAATGTATACCAGAAAAGTGCACTTGAACAGGTAAAACCATTAAAAATATAAGACTGAAAAATTTTTGATGATAAAAACAGTTGCAATGCAGTTGGATCAATACACAGACTTATTTAATTACAATCAAACTTTTATCTAATAAACGAAATGTTATTCAACTATTGAATGGATAAGAATTATTAAGGTTTAATTATGTAAAGTAGGAAAATTATTAGACAATTCCTTGCTTTACGAAAATACATCAAGTAAGAATTTTTTAACATATCTGAAAACAACCACAGCTCACTTCCTTTTACTTCTTTATATGAGGCAGTACTGTATTTAGGATATATATAATAATGTTAATAAGAACAAGCATATTTTTAGGAGGAGAAGTCATTAATTCTGTGATCCTTTCATTCCAATTTTATTGGATAATCTATTTTATACTCATTGTCTTTCATAATACAACAATTTGCCTCTGATCTCCCATCTTTGTACTGTGTCCCACCACTTATGTTTTTAAAAAATATCCACACATAATTATAGAAATCATTGTGATTATCCATCTTAATTTATTTTAATAAAGTAACAAGTGGCACGCGCATAAGCCATTATTTAGGTTTTACCAGCTCAGTCTTTGAGATGAAAAAGACTAGTAACTATTATTAAGCAATAATAAATTTGCACTTTAGAGGTGTATCTTTTAGTACAAAATGTTCACTTATAATGTCAATCAGCCCTAAATTTTTGGCTTCTAATGATAAGTTGATTTAGGGCCAGATATGTTACATGTATATGCTACATACCCTTATTCTATGAGTGATCAGAACCATATTGTGAGTTGCTAAACATTGAGGCAACCATATTGTCAAATTCTGGAACAGCATCCTCAAACATCTTCAATTGTTGCGCAAGAGACTCAGAATCAGTGGAAGCTGAAGCTTCTGCTATGTCTGCCCATTCATCAGTGGCTGATCGCGCTTGTAAACATTCTTTATAGAAATTAGCCAACTCAGCTATCGGGCTACCATCAGCAAATGGAAATTCCTATGGTACATAAAGAAAAGACAGTGTATTGCAATTTAGTACAATAATAAGTTGTGTGGACTTCACAGAATGTAAACATATTACAAAGCAAGATCCCATGGCCATCGGACGTCACATATTACCTGCCGAACAAAATGTATATAAATACCTGATACCTGGAAATTCGCTCTCTGACCAAGCTAGCAGGTACAGCCATCATAGTACATACTAACACTCCTCAAGTGTACACGTCACGCGTCTGGTGGCCCTGGGATCTTGGAATATTACATCTAACATAGATTATTTATGCTAAGTAATAATTGTATATTAATATTTCGAAACAAAAATATAAAATATTGTACATAACAATTCATACACCATTTCCAATCTAATATCTTAGTGTGACATTTCTGTCATGTTTAATCTGCTTGAGAAAGAAAAATCTAAATGATCCATGCTAATTTTCCAACATCTTCAATTGGTTTCTCTGTCTTAACAAGGTTAGTAAAGAAATTAATGTATAATGACTTTAAAGCTCATTGTAATGTTGTTTGCATGAGAAAAACACTACATCATTTATATGTGTATACATCCATATGCATTTAATAAAAAGCGGTTATTTTAATATTACAAACAGACACTACAATTTTATTTATCTGTATAGATTAAAAGTGAAAATCATAATTTAAAAACATATGTAATATTTTTGGCGTCCTATTAAAATTTTTTTCTGTTGTAATATATTATGGTATGAAGAAAATAATTTATTTTTTTAGAAATAAATTATTATTTTAAGAAGAATAATATTTACCATTAAACTAGCATACTTATTTCTCTCCGTCGCTTTTGGCACTTCAATAGCTTTACTGGAGTGTGCAATTATTTCTGGGATTTCAGAACTGCATCCGGGTTTATTGACATCTTTAAAGTCCGCTACAGACAATAGTTTAATTTCCTAAAAAATTTAATTTATAATTAGTATTTTGTATCAATAATTTATTTATTACATGATAGCTAAAAGTGAACTTGAAACCAGAGTGAAATACAAGAACTGCTTTTATAATAAAATTGAGTCTAAGGAGTGTTAAATTCTGAATACATATTAATTTAAATAATTTACAAATTCTGAAAACACCTTTATTCAATCCCGTTAGTCAATTAAATTTTTGCTAGCAATTTTATTTTAATGGTAGTTAAGTAATTGAGAGATTCTGAGGTCACAGGATATTGCATCTTCGTTTTCCCGTGGTCTATGCGACAGAGAAAGGTGCAACATGGGTTTTTGGTGGATACCAGTTTCTGACCAGGATTCCCACTCCCCCAAAAAGCGGCAGGGTATCCATATACGATTTTTTCCATATTAAAAGATAATTCAGAGATACACTTAACATACTGTTACAATCTAGGGGTTGCAGGATTGGATTAAAACTCGTGTTTCCAACCATCACTTTATTTAGACAATGCACAAGTCTTCAACTTACTCTTCTGCTGGTATGATAGACCGCTATTTTTGCAACCTGACCTTCACATAGACTTCTACAGAGACAACAGCCTCCCACATACACACACTAGTTCACCTCTACACCTCATCTCATTTTCACTAACACTTCATTTCACTTCTAACTTTTCCTTTTATTTTTGCCGTCGTTTGAAGTTTCTCCACTGAAATGAGGAGCTCCTGTGTCTAGATCTTTGGATATGGTACCATAGATTCTTGAAAGTTCAGGGAAATTTTCTATCCCCTGTTTTACAGCTACTTCTACAAAATTATGGTCAATAATTTTGTAGAACCTTCTTTCTTGTTATGCGCTGTTGTTCCTGCTGACAGCGTGCATACTCCTCTTGAAAAGTGCTCAGTTATGTAGTACATGTAGTCTGTCAGATGAAATATCAACTGTAGCTGTATTAACTGAGTAGTGCAGTGACCGCTTCTTCCTATTGCTGCCTTGCAGGTAGTGGTTGGTACCTTTATGTTTCATCGGCATAACCGACTTTCTGCAATTCCACTTCTGACATCAGATGCTATCAGCTAGAAGTTGCAAGATTGAAGTTAAATATCCAATATATCCTTCACTAAATTCATAAATTTAAACAAACGCGTCAGCCCTCTTTTTGCTGCACAAGTCCTCAACTTACCATTCTACACCCTAGAGATCCTCTCGTTGTCGCACTAGTCCTCCACATTCACTGTACTATTTTACTGCGTTCATGACCACGGGACTGATTTTTCCTATTCTTTTAGTTTTTGGCAAATTTGATCGTCGTTTCGCGAAAAACGTCCAGGAAAGCGGACCTTTAAGGGACAAGTGTCAATTGTCATTTTGCATACAATATTCTGGAATAAGGGTCTGATTTTTTTTTTATTTTACAGCAAAAATTTACAACCGAATTTGGTGTCTTTCAAAACTGTCAAGATTTCTATTGTTGACAATCATTTGATGTTGAAATTATAATTGAGTAATTCTAACAATACTTTTCTTTTGTAAATAAGTAGATATATTATTATGAACATCTTGACCAAAAACTACAAAAACACTTACACCCAATCTGAAAGACTGACTGATCAACTGGCTCAAATTAAATGGCTTTTCAAATGTCATTTGAATTTCCATAAGGATGGTTAAACTATTTGGATTGATCGTTCTGATTCAGAGATTCGATGTTAATTTTTTCACACAGTATTTTAGTGGTGTAGATTATGCCTCACCCTCCAGCACAAGACAACCACATTATCCATTATGCCAATTCGGTTGTTACCCATCAAGTAACATCATTTTATCTTTAAACATACATATAAACAAACCATACATCAAGGGGTCAGTCTTTACATTTTTATAATATAGTGTAGTACAAATATATAATTATTAATTAAGTAAAGTAAAGTAACCGTGAGTAAAAGTAAAGTAAAGTAAAGTAAAGCCTATACATGTCCCACTGCTGGGCAAAGGCCTCCTCTATACAGAGGGTATCAGGGCATAGTCCTCCACGCGGCCCCACTGGGGATTGGCGGACTTCACATATTTTCAAAATATATATTTTATTGTTATTATTTCGAAAATATGCAGGTTTCCTCACGATGTTTTCCTTCACCGCGGAGCACGTGATAAGTCAGCACTTAAAGTTAAAAACTTCATTGGTGCCGTCACCGGGGATCGAACTCAGGTGCTCGAGTATATTGAATTAAAGGCGAGCGCCCGGACACTGAGCTATCACTATATACAATTATTAAAATGATATAATTTTAAAAAGTTCTATAAAAATTTGTTAGCTCTTATATCTATTATCAGTATATTAAAAAAATATTAAATAGTAACCTCTTCCATATTATCCTTTTCAGCAAGGAACCAGTTCATAGGAGGTTCAGGTGGTAACTGTTGATATAAAGTACTATGCAGTTCTTTCAATTTTTTCTATGTCAACAAAGGCACCTGCAGTTAATGGTTTAGACAAATCTAGTTCTTTTTTTTCCATATGATTTCTCCTGAAAATACATAATTTTTACATTTAAAGAATGTTGCTTTACAGCAAAAAAAGCAATCTTTGTTTAGATTCTAAATCTTGGCCTTATATTACCTTGGACTTTCAGTATAAAAGTGATCACTCTTCATCATCAAACTGTCATTGGAATTAATTGTTGATTGATTAATAAATTTGCCTCTGTCCTCAGGTAGCATAGTCATTTTTGTCCTATATGCTACTTCAATTAGTATTGTCCCAATAGGTGTAGGCAGTTCACTAACTTTTACAGTTTTATATTTTTCACCTGTGATATCATAGAATTTGATTGTTTTATTATGATTATAGTATTCCATGCTGTTATTATTGAATGTTGCTGCTATAGGTCCTTGGACTTTTTTTTTACATAAATGACAAATATCAATTGCACTTTAGTCCTAAAAAAGAAGCTTTAACCGATGAATAGAATGGTTTAATACTCACCTAATTTTTCCAAATTAGGTTTGCCTCCATAGATTTTGTGTGAAATTTTGTAAGTATCCTTGAATTGAGACCTTGATAATTTATATGCAGGTGTTATCCTTGAAATACTTAGAGTAGATTTCAGCATAATACTCATTCTATAATAAATTGTTGAAACCGATGACATGCTTACATCACAACCTGGTATTATTTTAACAGTCCATATTTCAAGTATCATTTCATCTCCATCAATTGTTCTCAATAAAATTTCAATACACAAAATATTAGCGAGTGCCTCAATAACTTCACCATTTAAAACACGTTTTGTATCTGTATTAACTTCAGGTTCATCTGGTATTGTTAAGTTAAACTAAAAATAACATGGTAGGTAAATAGCTATAATAGTAATAAATATATATATATGTATCTATAAATAGAAGACTAGCCTCTGCATAGCTAGCTAGTCAAATCAAAAACACTACATATTTCATATTCAATTTGTGACATGTAAACACTGAATATTTAATATTTTAATAGGTAACCAATAGATAAAATATCACAATTGCAAAAGACCCATTTTATAATAGTCCCCCTTTATTTATGAGTTGAGAAGTGAGATGGCTGTTAACCACCATGCATGGACATTTGCAAAACCTGTACACCAACACCCAGTTGGAAATGCACTGCCTTTATTATAGTGAGCCCCTGCTACCTCACTCAGCAGATGAAATGCAGAAGTATTAAACTTCTACTTGACACCGGTCTTGTGAGGTTTTGGTACATACCCAGATTAGCCTGCCAATTCATGCAATAGCGAAGACTGTGATACTGCCAAGTTTGAGCGTTCACTATGACTCAATAAATAACAATATGGTATTGTTAATACATCAATCCTCAACATGGCTAGTTACAAATTTAAATTTTCTTTTTCGTTATGGTTTTGGTGAGGAAAACCATAAGAATAAATTAAAAAAGGGCCCTCTATTGGCTATTTAAAGGCTGTCAATTTATTATTAATCACACAATTACAATGTTTTGTCCTCTAATAAAGATCAACAATTAACATTTCTTTCAAAAATATTTACTTAATAATTATAATTACTATACAAAATGCTGCATTACAATAAAATACAAAAAAATAAAATAATTTGTTCTACACTTTACAAGAACAAAATTTCTTCTAAGTGATGTATAAGAAATTTTGCTTTTGACATATTTATACAGATTATCCATTGATATTACATGCAAATAAGAGTTTATAAGAGTTTATAAATAATGTTTTAATAACAATATTAAAACATTATTGAGGTGACCTAAGCCCCATACTAACAAGGCAAGGGTAGTTCATTAAATGTATTCCTTAATTTCTGCAAATTTATGTTAAAATATTATAAGGTAAGGTAAGGTACAAAGGCTGTGTATAAAAAAGTAACTGTACCCATTGTAAATTATTTGGCGAAGAAGGTGGTCCATTTTCTAGCTCTTTGTAAACCGCATACTCATGATTAATCTTCTTGCCCTGTCTACTTTGAACTACTATTTGTGCAACTTTCAACGTTAAAATTTTAGTAAATTTATATAGCTTATAACGCTCCTGTGAGTCCACATATGTTGAAGCCATTTTATTTATTAAAATTTAAGTCACAAAACAATATCGTATTAGAACGCAGTTAGAGAAATGGAAATAAAGATCCATAAATATACATTACTATTGAAATTAAATAAACTTGTATATAATATTCTTTTTCTGTTTTTAACACTTTTCAAAAGGCATTTGATTTAAATTGATGTAAATAATCAGATAAAATAACAAAATATTTATACCTCTACCTAAAATAAAGTTACAGTTAGTAATTTAGTATTATTTATTTCTTTCTAATAATAGTAATAATATTATAGGCATTAAGGCACAGATGAAACATAAAAATGATGGGCATGAGGATATGGGCAAAAAATATCGGTATATAAATTTATCGATATTTTTCATTAAAGTCGATAACGTATGGATATAATATATGATCGATATTTTTTATCGCTATATTCCAATGCCAATCCAGTATCAATCCAATCAAATCTAATGAGCCTTTTGCAGTTCACTGGACATAGACCACAGTGCACGATCTTCCGCTTTCATCATCCAGCCATAACCAGCGTATTTTCGTAATCTATATTCTTTTTACAAATTTTGAATTATTTGTAAATATGTATGAACAGTCTGTAATGCGAAATCTTTCGATATATCGATATATCGGTATTTTCCACTTAATGATTATCGATACTTTTTCAATATGCCCATACAATAAATATCGATATATTTTTTTTACTTGCCCATCCCTAAACTGATGTCATAAATGAAAATTTAATAGATTATCCGCAGTGGAAAGTAGACCCGCGTCTTTACCAACGGATCCTCCTCTTAAACCATGAAAAGGGGCCTCCCCCTTTTAGCTTTAGAGTTAACAAATGCAAAAACTGGGCAGAATCGTTAAAAAAGAAATATTGCTCTACAAGAGAGCTAGAAAGTTAGCTGCAACTTTTACCATTCTGAACAAAGTTCTATTTTAGGAAGATTATACTAATTAAAAGCAATCATTTAACGTAGCTAATATATAATAAAATATATGAAAAAATAGTAAGCCCTCTTGATTTTCTAAATACTTTATTATGAATCAAGCCTGTGAAATAGATTTTTAATAATATTTCTTACCAATAGTAGGATTTATAATTTTGATAAGCAACTCAATCACTAAAAACGGTTTTATTATTTTATTTTGTCATTTTGTCCGTTGAGCTGTTTCTTTTGTTAAAAGTGTGCTGTGTGTTAAGAATTTACTGGATTTATTTATCATAAAAGGGGCTATTTTAAAGTGGACGATTTTGTGTTTTTGTGCAGATAGTGTTGTGATGTGTGAGACATACACTACTTTGCGATATTGGTGCTTCTATTACTTTAATTTAAATCTTAAATTGTGAAATAAGAACAGTGTACTTTGGTAATGACAAGGAAAGTAAGTATGAGTTGCGTTAAATGCGGAATTGTATCGGCTTTGTATCTCAATCTCTTTGTATCAAAATCGAGAGAATCATTGAGCAATACTGTAACAATCTACTTTTTGTATAATAAAAATATTTAATAATGTTGAAAATGTGGTTTTATTCGTACCCGCTTAATTCATAAATAATACATTAATATAATTAATTACGACAGTAGCAATTTGAATTAATGTGATTATTCTATCATTTCATATATTCCCCCTCGCTATGGGTTGTTTGGACATCCACTGGAGCGCTAGTTGCCCCCGTGTACGCATTTCAATTTCAAATGTATCAAGATGTCGTTCTTCTCGTGAGAGTATTAGAGTACAGACAGTCAAAGAGTACTTTATATATCTGACATTAGTGTTCTGTGCCTTGAACACACGTCGGTCATCGAGTACCTCAAAAACCGCCTCCCGTACCCGGGCCGGACTTTATTTCCAACTAACTTAATTGAAATTACTCTGCAGACTTTATTTGGCTTCTAGTTACGATGTTTAATTCACTCCTGGACAGCTGCAGCTTCTACCATTTCATTATGACATATATTTTTTTTTTATTTTTTTTTACCTACATATATATGAGAAGTAGTCATTAAAATTGTAGATCCACGGATACGGAACATAACTTAATATCCAGGAAAATCTCAATATTAGTGTATCCACCGTCCTTGATTTTGTGTCTTTCCAGTGTCTGGGTGTCTATAAATATATAATATGTACTAATTTACAAAAGAAAAGTATGTTTATCAGTTTTCTAGTACCTATAGAACAAAACTTACTTAGTTTGGGACTAGAGAACGTAAAAAATGTATCTGAAAATATTTATATTGCTCGCACATATTCATTTTTTTATCATGACTTTTGGGGGATACAGCTACCAAGTTACACTTTTTGAAGTACAATTTACCGTTCCTTATCGTCACTGTGTTTTTAATCAAAACTTAATACTTTGAGTGTCATATTGTATTAATTTATTTAATTAGAATTATTATTTTATTACGACTATAAGGGTAAAGATCCATCAATAATGATACGGATAGATACGGATCTTTTTTTCCGACGGATGTCCGCGGATACGGATATCCGGAACATCACAAATGAGAAGTACCCGATACCCAATTCACAGCCTACACACGACGCCTAGTCCTTAGTCCCTAGCATAGAGTAACTTATTATAGGGGTAAATATATAAGTTATAAATGGTCCCTAGCTACTTCTGAATCGCTTACATCGCATATGTAGTTATTGTTACACAGGTCGTGTACATACGATTGTTCGCTCTAAATTAAATGTAACACTTTTTATTTTTGCAGACTGATTTTTCGTGAATTTATTATTTCTATTACCATTGTGTTAACGCAAATAATCATATTAATAAAAACAAATTGTATTCATGAATGAATTGTATAATTTACCGTAAGCAATAGTTGTCAATTTTTTTGTTCGGTAGATTTTTTTGACGTTCAATAAGAGCTTAAATTAAGCCTATATTAAAAAAATATATTTTGACTTTGGCTTTGAATTTGATGTCAGTATGTCTCGATTAAGTCACATTGTTGACATTATTCTATTTATTGCGATCCAAGCCAAGGTGCGTGTAATGGCTAACAACTTGACATTGGCGGAATTGTGATAACTCACAAAGCAAGCCATTATTAAGAAGAAGAAGAAGAAGAAGCCAAGGTGCGAACCTTCTTACGAGGGGTTCTTGGATTTTTTGTGTTATTATGACTTAAGACTGTTCATTGTGGAGTGTAGAGATAACGAGTACAATCTAATGAGCCGTAAATTGCTAGCAGCTTTCTGTAGTAGGCGGGTCAGGTTGTCTAGCGGGCGTTGAGCTTCTTGTTAAAGAAGGCGAGAGGCGGCCAGGAGTCATTAGCGAGCTGTTGTAAACAAGCGCCAACATGGGTGGACGAAGCATCGGTGAATGAACCAAGTTTCGCGTCGGGTACAGGGTGGGCAACAAGCGTCGCATTCGTAAGATGGTCCTTGCATTTCTGGAATGCGGTGTGGAGCTCCGGTGTCCACGGAACTGGTTGAGATCCTTTAAGCTGACCCGACACGTAACTGGCGATTAACGGCGCTTAGAGTTCTGCAGCATGTGGCAGAAAGCGGC